ATAATACGTCATTACATCGTTCGATGAAAAAGGGTACCCTTTTCGATGACTTATGACCTTTGTAATAAGACGGAAAAGGTACCCTCTTAGCTTGGAATTTGATCTGTTGAATTCAAATAGGATTATATAGAAATGGTGTCAAATATTTATACCATTGATATCAAGGCTGAGTGTATAATTTATTCTCTCTTGTTTTTTATTAAAAATGGCAGGGAAAATATCGAATATATTATATATGCTAAAGACAATGTTCAAAATAATCATACTTATCAGCAGAATAGCGCATATTAATGAAACTGGATTTCCCTGAGGTTAGTCAATGTTCCTCGAAAGAAGCTTCCGGTTTTTATTCTGTTAAAGGCCTAGCACTCAGAAACTAGACATTTTTAAAGCGACACAGCCGACACTAGAGAATGCATGTGCCGTACACTATACTCTGCCGCACACTATAGAGTGCGCTTATATAGTACACAGAGTAACTAAAAAATAATTCTGGCCATGCAGTGATGGAAACAGTCACATTGCATGCGCTACAAAGCCAAAAATACTTCGCTGCCTGTATCTGCATGCCACTATAGTCTATCAACTATAGTCTAGCCATAACATATGTAGTACGGTATGCCCATTATCATAGTTATTATATCCTTTCCCAAGGGCTATATTAATCTGTGGACAGGCTACACTTATATATATGGATCGATTTAAAAAAAATTATTATAAACTGTGAAATAATGGCGTCCTCTTGCAATGCCATACATTAAACAGGAATAGCCGAATGCTTCTACCGAAGGGACTTAACTAACCTCAGGGAAATCCTGCTTGAAGGTGCCGCTAATTTACCGATAGTAATAATTATTTTGGACATAGTCACTCTTTCGCATATACAAGGTGCCCTTCAAAAAAACGGAACCTGCATACATAATTAGTTTGTGAAAGAGTTCTTACATGTTTGGTTTTTTTTGCTTTCACTCATACGTGTCAAAATATATGAAATCCCATCAGAGGCAGAGAAATGTAACAAATACATAAATATTTGCGCAGGTTCCGTTTTTTTAGACACCTTTTATTTTCGATATTTTTCTCTATCAGTGCTCTTTTTTACTGTAAAATATACAATAAATTATACACTCAGCCTTGATATCAATGGTATAAATATTTGACACCATTTCTATATAATCCTATTTGAATTCAACAGATCAAATTCCTATCTAAGAGGGTACCTTTTCCGTCTTATTACAAAGGTCATAAGTCATCGAAAAGGGTACCCTTTTTTATCGAACGATGTAATGACGTATTATACCGAAAAGGGTACCTTTTATCGTCTTACTTCTTAATAACAAGATCGACGAAAAAGGATACCCTTTTTCATGATGTTTGAAAACGACGCGTTTGAGCGATAAACATCGCCTTTTTTTCGGAAAAAGGTGGGGGTATTGTACGTATTTCAGAAATGCTTTATGCCATCGAAAAGGGTATGGTATTTAGTGCAGTCGATGAGAAGTACATAAGTCAAAAGATGGATTTTCTCTAAATTTTGCTTCCCAGATTCGGAATTTTCCCAGTTTTATAATTGCCGGAACCGTCCACTGATTGGGTATAATCAGTGGACAGTTCCGGCAATTCTAAAACTGGAAAAATTCCGAATTTGGAAAGCAAAATTTAGAGAAAATCCATATTTCGACTTATATAATTCTCATCGACTGCACTAAATACCATACCTTTTCCATAGCATAAAGTATTTCTGAAATACGTACATACCCCCACCTTTTTCCGAAAAAAAGGCGATGCTTATCGCTCAAATGCGTCGTTTTCGAACATGATGAAAAAGGGTACCCTTTTTCGTAGAATAGAAGGTACCCTTTTTGGTATAATACGTCATTACATCCTTGGATGAAAAAGGGTACCTTTTTTGATGAAATTATGACCTCCGTAATAACGAAAAAGGGTAGATTGGAATTTGATCTGTTGATGTCAACTAGGATTAAAAATGGTTTGAAACATTTATACCATTGATATCTAGGTTGAGTGTATAATTTATTGTATATTTTACAGTAAAAAAGAGCACTGATAGAGAAAAATATAGAAAATACAAGGTGTCTAAAAAAACGGAACCTGCGCAAGTATTTATGTATTTGTTACATTTCTGTGCCTCTGGGATTTCATATATTTTGACACGTATGAGTGAAAGCAAAACAAACCAAACATGTAAGAACTCTTTTACTTACTAATTATGTATGCAGGTTCCGTTTTTTTGAAGGGCACCTTGTATATGGGAAAGAGTGACTATGTCCAAAATAATTATTACTATCGGTAGGTTAGCGGCACCTTCAGCAGGATTTCCCTGAGGTTAGTTAAGTCCCTTCGGTAGAAGCATTCGGCTAATCCTGTTTAAAAGCATTGCAAGAGGACACCATTATTTCACAGCCTATAATAACTTTTTAAAATCGATCAATATATATAAGTTTACCCTGTCCACACACAGATTAATATAGCCCTTGGGAAAGGACATAATAACTATGATAATAGGCATACCGTACTACATATGTTATGGCTAGATTATACGTTATGGCTAGACTAAAGTTGATAGACTATAGTGGCATGCAGACACAGGCAGCGAAGTATTTTTGGCTTTGTAGCGCATGCAATGTGACTGTTTCCATCACTGCATGGCCAGTGTTTTGCACATATTGGCGGTTTTATCTGGAGGAGAACAACTTCGGCTAACCTTACTTGTACTATACGATTTCAATATGTTTATTATACACATATACACATATAGTCAAACTAAATAGAAAATAAATTACATATAAGTATTAAAATTGTTATAGATACAAGAAATTGAACTTGAAAAAAAAATATAATATACATGTTAAAATATAACTTACTTTATAGTTACTCCTAGTTCCTTCGATGAAGTTCATTTGAATCTAACTAGGCGTGGTTGTTTTTAGTTTATATAGGCGTAATTTACATAATTCAACAATACATGCATAATTTCTATAAGTCATTATTATTGTAATTTTGGGCAAAACACCCCCCTCCAGTTAGGAGGTAATGACTAACTTTTTTTTGTTGATTTCTTCTAAAATGTTATTTAGTAAATTTTATTGTCTAACTATAAGCTTAATTTATTGTTCTATTTCTTCTTTTGTGGCAATTAAACAAAGTTTATGAATTGGATGTTTATAACATCCTTTTGTCGTTTTAATTTGGACTTTTCTTACCATGTTGTCTTTTCCAGGATAAGTATTAACAACGATTGCCATTTTCCATTGCATTTTTGGTGTTGAATCAAGTTCCAAAACCAAATCTTCGGCCTTCAAATTTTCTCTTCTATGAAACCATTTATTTCTTAACAATAAATTTGGCGCAAAATACTTCATCCAGGCTTTCCAAAATTTGTGAATCTTCTTTTGACAAATGCATAGTAGATTCCTTGGATTGACTTGGCTTTCTTCTTCTGGGATTGGTGGTGAATTATGTTGGCCAATAATAAGGTCATTGGGTGTAATTGGAGGATCTTTAAATATATCTTCCGAGCTTGGGTATAACAGTCGACTATTGACCAGGTAATTTCCTTTAGGATGGTATGCCATTGCTCTTCAGTATATGCTTGATTTTTACATGTCGCATTCATTGCATGACATACTGATTTGATTAAGCTTTCTACCACTCCATTTTGATGACTTGCCTTTGGGATGTTAAATTCCCATCTAAAATCACAACTGAATTCTTCTGCAAGAACCTTTTGGATTTTGGAAGTATCCCAACTTGACGTAACTTCTTTAAGGTAAGCTTGGGCTCCCACGAAATTTGTACCACGGTCAGACCAACAGACATTAGGATGTCCATGAGTACAGGCAAATCTTCTAAATGCCATTAGAAATGTCTCAGTGCTTCTATCCGTCAAAAGTTCCAAGTGTATGGCTCTCATGGTCATACACATGAAAATTATTACTTGCGCTTCTTTACGTGTTTTATGATTCATCCTAATCTGAATTGCACCGAACATATCCATGGCTGTATTTGTAAACGGGGGTAATCCCATAGCTACGCGAAGACTTGGGAGTTGTCCCTCTATCTGTTCCAGTGGTTTGCTTCGTAATTTCTTGCATGTGATACATTTGTTTGTGAGTTTCTTTGCGGCGTTCTGTATTCCGATTATCCAATACTTCTTTCGTGCTTTGTGTACAAGGCTTTTATATCCACAATGACATTTTTGTTTGTGTAAATGGCGTAATAGCAGAACAACTAGAGGATGATCGCGTGGAAGGACAATTGGTTTGCACATTTCTTGCGGAAGTGATCGAATATTCTCTAATCTCCCATGTGCACGCAATAAGCCTTCTTCATCGAACTTCGGCTTTAATTTTTGGATAGGGAATTTTCTAATATCCACTTCTTGTTGACACCACTTAAACAACAGATTTTCTGCTACTTTCAGTTCATTCCAAGAAATAGGATTTGTTTCTTTGACTTTGTTTCGCAAAATGCGAATAAATCGAAGAACGTAGGCCATCGTTCTTCGTATTTTAGAAAATGATGAACAATTATCTAGTAATCGTTTGAATAAAACATCGTTTAGGACTTCAACGGTATTACAACTTTCACTCGTTGTTTCTTCACTTTCTCTCAATTCCCTCTTGAATTTACTCTTATATTCAACGTTTCCTCGTTGCTTTCGCTTGGGTCTTGCCTTGAATTATCAATTACCTCAGAACTAATTAAGAATTGTGGACCAGCCATCCAATTATTCAGTTCGTGTATGGAAATGCCTTTACTAACGCCTGTATTCAAAAAGCTCACTCACACTCATACTCATTGAGTGTGACATATAAATTTCGTTAATGCTGATGAATGAGAAAGTTTTTTTTGAATAGATGAAAGATACAACGTAAATCACTGAAAATCAAGCCCTTACTCGGCAGGAAATACCGCTATTGAAACTTTATGAGAAGATTAAGATCTCCTACTCAATAAGTTTGAGTGTGAGTGAGCTTTTAGAATACAGGCGTAAGAGCGTCTGCAGGATTGTCTTTCGATTTAACGTATCTGAAATTTCCAACATTTACACTTTCTTGAATTTCAGCCACTCTTACTGATAAAAACGGTTTGAATTTCCTTGCCGGTGTCTTGATCCAAGAGAGGACGGTTTGTGAATCAGTCCAGAGTACATAATTCCAATCTTTTGCATTAGCGAATTTCAACGCTTGAACACGTGCTGCGTAAATACGGGTTAGAACTAGACATCCAAGTAATTCTAATCTTGGAATAGACTTTTTTCTAAGCGGAGCCACGAATGCCTTGACCATAATGGGAATAAAACTGTAACTACCGTCTTCACATTTCCATCTAAGGAAAATTACTGCTCCATACGCTAATTCTCCTGCGTCGCAGAATCCGTGTATTTCAGGCTTGTCGACTGCATTATCTGGCTTGAGCTTTCGATTAAATTGTATATTAGGGACTTCGTTCAATACTTGGAAATTGTCGATCCATTTACTTTGGACGGCATCTGGTAGGTCTTCATCCCATGAAAAGCCTGATGCCCATAGATCTTGGAGATCCACTCTAAACTTTATCATCACAGGCAAGACCAGTCCGAGAGGATCCCAAAGTTGCGATACAACGGATAGACATCTTCGTTTAGTGAATGTTTTCTCTGGTCTAATATCGAGCTCTTTCTTGAATGTGAATACATCAATTTCTTTATTCCACTTATGTCCGAGGAAGGTAGTGCATTTTTCCTTTGACTTGTCAACTTCCTTGTGATTAGAATTCCACGATTTGACCTGGAAATTCCCCGTGTTTAGGATGGTGTCGATATCCGTAATAATGTTTTGGGTTTTTTCGGGAGTTGGGGCTGAGCCACCGATATCATCAACATAAACGTTGCCTTGCAGTTGTCTGGAGGCTTCGGATAAATCTTCTTGGCAGGCTTTAGCTAATACCTTAATAGATCCTGTAGCAATGTCCGGTGCGGGTTTATCTCCAAAATTTAACTGTAGCCATTGAAAAATCTTAGGATCTTCGTCTTCATTTCGTCGAAACAAGAATCGGTGGTATATCTGGTCTTTGGGATGTATCCTAATTTGATTAAACATCTTACATAAGTTGCCGCAGTATCCAACATGGTCCCATCTCCATGCTATCAAGACATCTTGAATATTATTAATTTAGTTTGGACCTTTTTCTAGATAATCGTTTAGGGATTTGTTGTTGTCTGGACCTTTCGCGGAAGCGTCGAAAACTAAACGTATCTTAGTTGAACGTTCCGGTGTAAATACTGCCTGCGTCGGGAGGTACCATTCAGGTTTACTGTGGTCGACTTGATCAATCGGCACTTCAACAACGAAGGCTTGTTCTACTAACTTCTGTACTTCTGTTTTGATTTCTTTGAAGCACTTTTTATTTTTAAATGTTTTCTCCGATGAAAGCATTCTTCGGAGAAAAAAGTGGTGGTCCACTTTCTTTCCATGGCATCTTGACTTCAACTCGTCCATCGATTATCTTCGTTGAGTCTGCCAGGGACTTGATGAACTTATTCTCTTTCAACATTTCGTCCGTACATGTACACATTCTGGTAGGTTTTACACCAAGTAGATCCTAAGTAAGCAACTTCTTTATATCTTCTTCTGCACTTATGGTACCAACTTCGATTGAAACAGTTCTTGACACGTTGTCACTGTTTTCGCTGTCGACGACACAGAGAACATACCAACCAAAGCAATTTCATTTAGCGATTGGTCCGGCCAGCTCACTTTGTTTAATATGAACATCAATAAAGGCTGCCGGAAAATCTGTACCAATTAGTAAATCAATCAATCCACCATTGAGGTGTAATTTATCAACGATACTCTCTAGATGAGGATAATTTTTTACCGCAGTTTTTGATATGGACTTTGCAGCACTACAGGGTTTCTGAACGGTAAGTACATGCAGAGTTTTTATTATTTGATCATCATTAATTGGTGCCACATATATTTTGATTTGTCGTGACTTCAGACTTTTGTTTACCTCCAGCTACGTTCATAGTCATGTGAAGTTCAGGTCCTTCTAAACCAAGTTGTTTTACTGTAGCTTTCGACATCAAACTTACGTTAGATCCACTATCTATCATTGCCAAAATCTCAACAAATTCTCCATATTTATTTCTTACTCTAATTTTTTGTTTAGGACATATTCCTTTTATTTTGTTGTTCTCTTGAACATTGCTATTTTGTGTCTCTAGTGTAGATTTTGGTGACCTTTCTATATTAATTTCAGATGTCAATGGATTAAACTGTTGATTTAACTTCACGGCCGTACTATCGGGATTTCTTCGATAATTGTGCAATGAATAATGATGAGGTTTAGTACATTGTTTGCATGTTGTCCCGTCTGCTTTTCTACACGTATTTGTGTGATGGGTCAATAAACATTTTCGACAGCGATTATTCTGCTTAACAACTTCCCATCGTTCATTAACGCTTAAATTTTGATAAACAGGACATTCCGAGAGGTAATGGTGGCTTTGACAATTTAATGGGCATGACTCCTCTTCAGTCGGTTTAGTTTTCGCATTGTTACTATTTTCGGAGTTATTTTTATGAGCACTTTCAATTTTCTTATAGGAACTGTTAACAGCGTTAATTTTTGTTGGTTTATGACTAATAGATTGATTACTACTATCATTAGCATTAAACCGCTTTTCTCTCGATCTTAAATTTGCTTCTCTATATAACCATTCAATAAGATTTGTTATATTTTCTTCCCGAATCATATCACGACCGAAGTCAGCGTTATCTTTTGACTCTAATTTAGACAGAAATTGTGACATAATAAATGGAGCTTCGTTTGAATCTGTTACCGGGCATCCGTTTTCTTCCATGTCATTTGCAAAGCTCATAATTTTAGTAGCATAACGTGAAAGTGAGGCTGAATCGCCTTTTACTTGCTTATAGGAAATTATTTCGTTTAATAAATCATCTATAAGTTTTCTTTTGTCTGCAAATTCTTTATCTAGAATTTCAAATGCTTTTTCTACCGATTTGCAATATTTTACTTGGTCGGTCCAAAAAGAATATTTTGGTAAAGCTTTGCGAAATCTCTGTAATTGCTCTTCTTCGTCTTGTCTACATTTTTCCATCCAATGTTTAAATTAATGTTTCCATGTCAAATAAGATTTTCGTTTCCCGTCCCATACCGGGACCGAGAGTTTTTCTAAAGAATTTGTTTTATCGATTTTTGTTGAAGTAAGCGCCTCCGCCATTTTGGTTACAGCGAATGTCAAAGTCTCAATACTGTCTGATTTATCTTCTGACTTATTTAAAGAGCACCTCTTTTGATATTCAGCGAAACTTTTAGTACAATTTAAATAGTTAGTCTTTATTTGAGCACCAATTTTCTTATTACTTTCAAGTATATTTTCTGCTTCACCGGAATCGCTAACTTTGCCTTCTACTATTTTATCAATAATTACTTCTTGTTGTTGTCTCACAAGTCTATTATATTTCTTTTCAATTCGTTTGTACACATTTTCTAACGTTGAAAATTCCGCTTCCACTTTGTAAAGTACTTGAAATTCTTCAAATAATTCATATAGGGAATTAACCATATTGTTCCGCTTTGCTGATAACAACGACACGTTTATCTTAGGTGGCATTTCTTTACTTAATCAGTTAATATCCTTGTTTATCGTTTATGTAAATTTTGTGATTTGAATGCTTGTATGTGAAATGTCTGGTTGACCATACTTTTGATCTTCTACAGTACTTTTGTACGTATATTAATAAACTGGTTTTCTCCTACCTTCATTAATAGTTCCTCAGTATGTAGGAAGAATTTTTCAATAATACTGCTAGGAGACGGCTTTCAATCAGTCCAGATAAGCTTTACGTCTGAGGCTGTGTTGCCGATATAGCGTATCTTACAATTTCGTGAGCTTGACTCTCTAGTAGTCTTCTGTTCTTCTTCTCCAGATATAAATTTGACTGTTTTGCACGTATTGGTGGTTTTATCCGGAGCCAGAACAACTTCGGCTAACCAGGAGCGTTTACTTGTACTATACGATTTCAATATGTTTATTATACACATATACACATATAGTCAAACTAAATAGAAAATAAATTACATATAAGTATCAAAATTGTTATAGATACAAGAAATTGAACTTGAAATACAAATATAATATACACGTTAAAATATAACTTACTTTATAGTTACTCCTAGTTCCTTCGATGAAGTTCATTTGAATCTAACTAGGCGTGGTTGTTTTTAGTTTATATAGACGTAATTTACATAATTCAACAATACATGCATAATTTCTATAAGTCATTATTATTGTAATTTTGGGCAAAACAGCCAGAATTATTTTTTAGTTACTCTGTGTACTATATACAGCGCACTCTATAGTGTGCGGCAGAGTGTAGTGTAAGGCACATGCATTCTCTAGTGTCGGCTGTGTCGCTTTAGAAATGTCTAGTTTCTGAGTGCTAGGCCTTTAACAGAATAAAAACCGGAAGCTTCTTTCGAGGAGCATGACTAACCTCAGGGAAATCCAGTTTCATTAATATGCGCTATTCTGCTGAAAAGTATAATTATTTTGAACATTGTCTTTAGCATATATTCGATATTTTCCCTGCCATTTTTAATGAAAAACAAGAGAGAATAAATTATACACCCAGCCTTGATATCATTGGTATAAATATTTCACACCATTTCTATATAATCCTATTTGAATTCAACAGATCAAATTCCAATCTAAGAGGGTACCTTTTCTGTCTTATTACAAAGGTCATAAGTCATCGAAAAAGGTACCCTTTTTCATCGAACGATGTAATGATGTATTAGACCAACAAGGGTACCTTTTATCGTCTTACTTCTTCACAACAAGATTGACGAAAAAGGGTACCCTTTTTCACCATGTTCGAAAACGACGCGTTTGAGCAATAAACATCGCCTTTTTTTCGGAAAAAGGTGGGGGTATTGTATGTATTTCAGAAATGCTTTATGCCATCAAAAAGGGTATGGTATTTAGTGCAGTCGATGAGAAATACATAAGTGGAAACATGGATTTTCTCTAAATTTTGCTTTCCAAATTCGGAATTTTTCCAGTTTTAGAATTGCCGAAACCGTCCACTGATTAGGGAGCCATACCTCCCATGTCTGTTAATTCACTAAAATAGAAATATTAAAAATATATGAACACACCTTTGGAGACAATAGCCAATAGTTGTCAGATTGCCATCCTAAATAGTTGGCAAGGAAGCATTTCCGAGGTTCACTATTTCCTTCATCAACATTCTTTAGCCTATGGTAAAATTCGTCATCGTCTTCTCAGAATAAAATGACTGCACTGAACATGGTGAAAAACGACCCTAAAATTTTTTTTTTTTAATTTTTATTGATTATGAAAATATTTTTGGTGTAAAATTTGTTATCGTCTTCTCAGAATACAATGACCGCACTGAAGATGGTGAAAAACGACCCTAAAATTTTTTTTTCAATTAGCCAACAGGGCTCTTTTCTTCGGTGTGTGCGTTTAATTGAGGAATTAGGAAACTTCTTGCCAATATTTAATGCCAGATTTTCTATCTTTTTAACACAAGCACTTGGGATATCAACTGGAACATTGTTTGTGCCAGCATGCAAAAAAATAAATGAGGGAGAACCATATTTCATATTTTTTACTTCGGAGCTGATCTCTTCCGCAGACCTCCCAGGGAAAGTATACTTATTAACCTTCCTTCTAGATAACTTCCTGGGGTTTATGATTTTAATAATTGAGACACCAATTAGGAGGACAGACCCATCGCCTTTTACGTCGCGTTTTGGAAGGGTGGACTTAGATTGGTTTCCTGACTGATTCAAGACACTATCCTCACTGCAGTTGTTAATACGAACATTTAATACATCAGGGTCATGAATGTTAACATTGGAGCTTGATCGGATAGACACAGGTGGACTCAACAAAGCCTTTTCTGAGGTTTGAGGAGACATTGGGTCATGCTTGGCTCTTTATAGTAGGACAGTCTTACTTGGCTTGCACAAGCAAGTAAACCACTAGAATCACTGATATCGAACATTTTAAGAGTTTGATACGCATTTTAAGAGTTTGATACGC